ATTGTTGTCAATAATTTGAAAATGGAAGACAAGTTGAGCTCGCAATCTCTCGTTGCAGTCAAGGATGCGAGGCGATGATGCATTGAATCACCTTTCGATAGCTGCATTCGACTCGTTCTATTCATTATAGCCGCGCTTTGTGTCGAAATATCATTAGTAATGCTTTGTGAAACGATTGTGGGACCTTTCATTTCATTTCTAAAGCCTTTTGTTGAAATTGAAAAATGAATTGTTTTTTTCTAATAGTAGAGAATTGAGGTGGACAAGATTACCGGCCAGTTATTACCGAAAGTATGTCTGAAATATTTATAAGCCTAAGTAATTTGACGCAATGGAAAGTGGAATTAATATTGTTACGTGTACGACTAAAAACTGATCAAAATATTGCGACTTGGGGTCCTTCAAGAAGCGTATCACCATCTCAAAGGCCGGCAACACATCTGCGGTTCCTCTGGTATTGCTGATGTCCTTGGGCATCGTTGAACACCTCGGTGTTCCTGCTGCTCGTTTGCCCACTTCTGTTATAAAAAAAAAAACAAAAACTTGCTACATCTGTCTGTATCTGCTTATGTAATTAAAGACATTAATTTATATTTATAGAATTTTATTTTACATTTATAGAATTTTATTTTTATTTCTAAGTCACAAGGGCAACTCGGTATAAGTACATTAACAAATAAAATTTTCATTCGTCGGCTTACCTTGTACCTTTTACTTTTTAACTAAATAATTCAGTTCTAAAAACTGATACAACGATATTCATAAAAGCTTTAAAATTCTATTGTCCGAGCGTCCGATGAAATATCGAAATAAAACCAGGAGTAAAAAGCACCGATACTGTATAAATTACTTTATTATTCGTCGAATGTATAAAAAAACTGTAAAACTATTAGTGATCGATAGCAACTGACTAGAAGATACATATGCAATTATCTATCTAATTAAGCATCTGCAAGTAATGGTGTAAAGCGTTTCCTAAATATAAAAGTTTGATCGAAGTCGACTTGAGATTAATTGCAAAAAATGTTATAAAATATAATGTAATTCTTTTTGCCTTTTATAATTTTCCTTCCTTACAAACTCATAATGAAACTTGCGATATTAGCTTTTGATGTTAACTTTATCTTGTGTTTCGAAATATGTTTTTTTTAATAATATATTTTAAAAAGAAATAAATTTCCTTTTCAATTTCATGCGAATTTATACAACACCATTTATATTGTGGTGCAGAGAAAACATTTTATTCTTATTTGATACTTATTATACTTTTGTCCCCCTGCACCAATGTACAAGAAAGGCAGCGACTAGGGAGGAGTGGCGGCGCCTGGTAAAGCGGGTCACTGATACGTGATGACCACGACCAGTCTGACAAGACTGCAACGACGAAGAAGAAGAAGATTATACTTTTACGTTAGTCTGCGACCAAGGCTTGATCTCCACTTCAAAAGGAGGAATCGGAGAAGGAAAAACTTACACTATAAACCCTACCCGCAACTGTCACACAGAGAGAAAGATAAGATCGATCCAGTTAGAACCTTGGTGGGTATTCACATGAATGATTAAACCTATTTTCTAATTAAGAAATAAAAAAAGCCTATGGAGATCGACAAGCTTATCTGGCTCGGTAACATAGGCAGTGCTATTGCGGTTAATGGGGAGAAAAACTGGATGCTTCAAGAAGGTGGTGATGTTGGTGGTGGTAGGTATATCCACGGTTACTTATGTGTTTGTTTTTTTTATAGTGTTTTAGATGAAATTTGACAAAAACTATTCAGTATAATCAATCACGCGACATCTGTAGTGAGCAAAATTCATTTCTTCCCATTCTTTTAGAATATGTACACCTACATAGGAATAGAAAATGACAAAATATAAGACAAGCTGTCTGTATGACAAGGATCTTGTAATACTTATGACATTGAGAGGGCGCTAGTGAGCTGTCATAACTTATTCCCACCGGGTCAGATAACTTTGCCGGTCTATACACACGACATACATAAACCTCTTTACCGTAGGTTTCCGAGACCGAAATCGCCGTTTAAAACATAGTATTATCTCTGTTTTGTCAAAGATAATGACATCTTTCGACCACATCATCGCTTGACATCAGGTGTGATCGTGGTCAAGCTGGTTAGCTTGTTAGTACGCAAGGTTATATATTCAATATATAAAAAATCCAACGGTAAGTCAGTCGGGAAAAGTAAAAACAGGTATTGCGGTTATTTTGATAGAAATCTTTAATTAATCTTGAAACAGCAAAATTTTCCAAAATTAGTAGCAGTAATTTGGACCGCCGAAGATCGTCTATCGCCACGTGATCGGAATTAGAGACACGCTAACTAATGTACTGCGGCCGTGATTCCAGTATTGCATTGCAGTGAAACGTGATAAGATTTATATTATACAAAGAACATGCCACAAAAATAACTATACTGTAGTCGCCTATTGGCTTGACCATAATTATTTTAATTTTGATAAACTGTGTTTTTATTTAAAAAATAAACCTCATTAGTAGCCTATGTGTTTTTTCAGGCTTGGTTAACTCAGTTGTTTATACTAGCTATCGTCCGCGACTCCGTTCACGCGGAATTAAAAAAAAGCTTTAAAGGTAGCCTATGTGTTCTTCCAGACTGTGTTCTACATCTATGCCAAATTTCAGCGACATCTATGCAGTCGTTCTGGAGATACATTGTATCCATTCGTATATTAGTAATTCAAATTGCTTGATGCCAGTTACAAAAAAATGAGTATGAGAGGATGAATAAAAAATATTCTTATAATAATTATAATAAATAGAATTTGTAATTAATAAGATTATAATTAAAGTAGGTTAAATTCTAGCTTTTTTTTTAATCACATGTTTTATTTTAGTAAAAACATAGATAATGGTTACATTTATTTGACGCTGAGTATACAAATTGTAAGCGGCGTAAGGTACATATAATTTAATAGCAAACGCTGAGTTCGTAGCAGGAATTTGCATTTAATTTCGGCTCGCTTCAGTCTCGTAGATGAGTTTTCGCTCAACAATGAAGATATCAGACATTTTATGATATAAGCTTAATTTAAATGTGCTGATCTTAACATACACAGGATGTTCGAAGAAGACATGTACAGGATGTTTGAAGAAGACATGTACAGGATGTTTGAAGAAGACATGTACAGGATGTTTGAAGAAGACATGTACAGGATGTTCGAATAATACATGTACAATAGAAGATTAACTTGGTTGAAAAATGATGATTTTAAAATACTTAGCTGTATCAAAAGTCGCTTAGTTTGGATGCTAGATGGCTTCAAATTTAATGTACATACAATTTTTTGGGACATCCTGTATTTGAAATGTTCAAATAAAAATTCCATATGAAAATGTAAATAATTTTTTTACACTCTCTTTTCAACATTTGTAACAAAACATGGAATGCGCCTGGGACACTAAAGGATGTTGCATTTAAATGGCAATTTCGTCTCGAATTTAATAACTTCTCGTTGTATAGTCACTTGCAAAGATGTTAGAACATTTTATTTTAATTTTTCTAATCAACTTATTTAAGTATTAGGAATCATTATTATATAGTACTCAGAACGATAAATAAGGGATATAAGAAGAAATATATTTATTTTTGATTTATTTGAATTTATCAACAAGAGGTATAATTTGTTAAACCTTAAGATTTTAATAATTAATTAGTGAAAACGAAACGATATAATATATATGTCAGCCTTCGTCTTTTATTATAGCAACGATATTTTGTTGCGTGTCACCATATTATTGCCGCAACCTTTTTACAGGCGTATTAATCGGTGTGGTATTTATATTACATCTGTTTTTGATAGAGATTTGGCAATTAACATTTAAATAAAATAGTGATTCTTGTTCTGTATTTTCCCTTTATTATTACCGTTAGATGTTTGATTTAATTGCTCTAGAGACGTCTTATCTTAACAGCTCTAGGATACACTGCACTGCGATGTTTAATAAATGAATTCACTCTCTATGTAACACTTTTATTGTTATTTTAACCGAATTGGAAATGTGTAGGTTCTTAGTTCAATTATTAATAACCTATACTGACTCCGCGTACCCATTGACATGAGTTCTGCAAAACATTTCAGCTAAATTTAGTAAAACTATAGATTTCCTAAGAAATGTGTTTATTATAATTTATTTCGTACATTTCCGAGGATTTTTTTTAATGAAAGTACACGTAAATTTCTTACGTAGATATATAATTTTTCTAAACTTAGAACAAAGACTGCCTTTTATTATTATAATCTCAAACACGCGACTTAATTTTTAGCCGTTGTATCGCTGTTATCTAGTTCGTAATTCCAATAACAAAAGGTATTGGGCGTCATGAATTTTCGCAAGTCATCGTGATACAACATGAATGAGATTGAGCGCAGGACTCGTCAAAACAAAAATGATGTTATTTTTGTTTGGTATTATTATACATTGATAACAACTCTACATTGATTTTTGTGCCCGAAAGTTAATTCTGCTCTTCTCTTTTCAGCAAAACGACACCACTACTGGGCGTAGGCTTCCCCCAAAGATCCTCATGATTAAAGTTTTAGAGATACTTTCAAACAAACATCCATCCATCTAAACCAGTGTTTCCCAAAGTGGGCGATAACGTCCCGTTGTGGGCGCTGCAGGTCTCAAGTAAAAGTTTCATTTAGAATTCTCCGTTAATATACGTATATAGGTCACAATAATTAATTAATTTAATTTGAAGTTATAGTGGTTTTTAAATATGTGAAAATATGGGGGGCGCTAAAAAATATTTATTCTCAAAGTGGGCAGTAGACAAAATAAGTTTGGGAACCACTGATCTAAACATTCGCTTTTATAATATTAGTAAGATTCTATGCGTGAAATGTCGCATGTAATAACTAGTTTACATCGATATTATTCAATTTTACATACAAGCATCTTAAGATAAACTCTCGCTTTTAATTACGCAAATAGATAACGTACCATATTTAAAGAGTAGCGCGATGTATTCGCAGCCAGTGCTTTGCTAGAGATTGTAGTCTAAACACTTCACAGAATTTTCGATATCAGTGGTAACAAATAAATCAAAATGATTTCAACAATTTTAATTATATCAGGCGCTTTATGGGCAATTTATTATTTAATTGGATTGTACAATGAAACGTACTGGAAAAAACGCGGTGTCAAATTCTACATGAAGCACAAAGTTTTCGGTCCCATGGGAGAATTTCTGACGTCAAAACGAGCGCTGTTTGAAATTTTCGATGATATATATAAAATGTATCCCAAAGAGCCTGCAGTTGGTGTTGGGTCCATGCTGACGCCCGCACTCTACGTCAAGGATCCACTCAACGTGCAACATGTTTTAAGTCTTGATTTCAATTCATTCAACCACAGAGGATTTGAAACGAACGAAGGTGATCAACTCGGCGATAATGTTCTTTTCATGAACGGCAATAGATGGAAGATTATGCGTCAGAATATGACACCGCTATTTACGGCAACTAAATTGAAAAGCATGTACTACATATTAGATCGTAGCGCCACAGATTTTGTGAATTACTTGAATCAGAAACCAGAACTATTAAAGAAGGATATTTTTCACACGCTTACGACATTCTGTAACGCCGCTATTGGAGCTGCTGTCTTTGGTGTAGGTAATGAGTCTATTTTTGAATCACCTTTTCTTGCTATGGCCCTCGACAGCATGAAACCGAGCACTATACGTAACATCCAATTTGCCATTGCATCTCTAAATGATAGATTATTTAAACTATCGGGAATCAAAATATTCAAAAAACACGAGGAATTCTTCATATCAGCTATAAAACAAGTGATTCGAAAAAGAGAAGCGGAGAATGTTAAGAAACACGATTTCGCAGATTTGTGTGTTGGTTTGATAAATAAGGGTACATTGAAGGATCATGACACAGGGTTAGAATTACTACCTACTGATGAAATATTAGCAGCGCAAGCGTTCTTTTTCTTCCTCGCCGGGAGTGAACCCAGCGCTTCTGCTATCTTCGTTACGCTAGTAGAGTTAGGCATGAACCCAGAGCCATTGAGACGTGTTCACGAAGAAATTGATAATGCGTTTGAGAAATATAATGACACAATGACATACGACACAGTTAATGAAATGGAGTATCTAGACATGGTGTATAATGAGGCGCTAAGAATGTACCCACCAATTGGTTTTTTGACAAGACAGTGCGTTAAGGACACTGTATTGCCTAACGGGAACATAAGAGTTTCAAAAGGAACGAAGATATTTACACCAATATTTGAAGTCCATCATGACTCAACGCTTTTCTCCGATCCGGAAGTTTTTAATCCGGACAGATTTTCACGTGAAAATCGGCATAAATTGCCAAATAATATGTACATGCCTTTCGGTGAAGGTAAGAGATTGTGCATCGGTGTGAGATATGCGACTCTACAAGTAAAAGCGGGTTTGGTACATTTGCTGCGTAACTTTACGGTTAAAACTCACGTTGGTAAAGGTGGAATCAAATATAGTAAGCAGAATATGCAAGTGAGGCCGGACAATGTTAACATTGAACTGATACCTCGCAGTCTGAAGAATTAATATTGAACAAAACGAATCTTTATACAACAATTGGGACTTTATTGGTAATTTATAATATATCAAGTTGTATGGGACTAAGAACTCACTGTAAATAAAAAAAAATATTATTAACTATTTTTTTCTAAATGTATGTATGTATGTATTTCTTTTGTATGTGATGGTTTTATAATAAAAGCATTGAAAATATGATATATTTTTAATTATGTAAAATTATTTATTATGGCCGCTATTTACGAATTTTATTTCCTCTTTTGACTGTACTACGGCGTTGAATAGAAATGAGGTTTAATGATTCGATTTGATAAATTTATACTAAAGGTATGCTCTCATTTAGAAGTAGTTGATATTACGAATTATGTGGACCCTAGAGTCTTCCCTAGCACAAACTTTCATAATTTAACACCACAATAGTTGGACTCTAATGGGCTAGCAAGATTTGATCTAGTTTTAATACTTTTGTAATAAACTATGTCTGAAAGTTATTAGTATTACTTAAAACTATCTTTATCTAATATTTTATAGTTCAAACATTCACACATTTAGGGTTCATGATCATCATCACCATCATCAGCTCACTATACGTCACTAAGTTAAGGGTGATTAGGCCGTAGTCAACCACGCTGGCCAAGTGCGGGTTGGTTGACTTCTCACATATCTTTGTATTCCTTCTCAGATATGTGCAGGTTGCATCATGATGTTTCCTTCACCGTAAGAAAATCACCGTTAGGGTTCCGTACCTCGAAAGGAAAAACACGGATCACTTTATTGTCCGTACGTCTGTCTGTCAAGACCCTTTTTTAACATTGACGAGGGCGTAATACAGCTATTACTATGTCACTTTATCAGATTAGATTGTTGGTCTTTACTACACAATACGTTCAGTACTGGTATCCAATTTTTATCAAATATTGTTCCAAAACAAGTAAGTAGTAGAATAATAATTTAGAGTTACTCTTACTGAGCTCGGTGACTGAGGGGTTAATTGTTTGTGTTGTGAAGTTCTTCGATTGATTTAAAGTCATATGTCCCCGTAGTGGGGCAGAGGGCGTCCACGGTGCGGAATATGGTGAAGGAAAAAATCGTAATATAGCTTGCACATAGCTATGAGGCAAGAAATTCAAATATATGTACATATGTGTAAAGTCAACTCGCACTGGGCCAGAGTGGTTGACTATTGTCTAGTCACCCGTAACTTAGAGTAGGCTCCGAGCCCCTTAGCGGGGATGTATAGTGAGCTGATGCTGATGATGAATTTCACTGAAAGTTAAATCAAGCAAGAATTTGTGTCAGCGTAACTTAGCAAACTTGAGGAAGTTTGCAAAGCAGTACTGTTTTTCAAGAAAAACGAGGGTTTTTGTTAACAAACTTAACTTTTCTTAAGAATAAAGTAAAAGAAAGCAAAATCATATATTCTGTAGTAAAATAATTTTCTTACACCGATTTTTACCTTATTTCAAACCATGAATTCAGTAGATAACTTGTTTCTTAAGACGATGCAGAATATTACTCCTTTTAAACGAGTTTTTATACATTATTTTTGATATTACGATAAACTTTTTGTTTCTTTTTGTTTTCGATGGAATTTTTAAAGAGACTTGCCATAATTTAATAAAGATTGCAAAACATCGTACTTGTTAAAAATTGTATCTTGAAAAAGTTCAAACATTTCTTAATTATTTTCATCAAAGCTGTGAAGCCGGCATGTGCGTGCGAGGCCTAATTGAAAAACTTTCACAAAGAGGAATGATGCTTTTGCTGTAAAAACAGTTTTTTTTTTCATTAAAAATCTCAACAAAAGTTGGTAGTCTTAGACTGAATATCGACGTTACTAAAGACTAAAATAAATATTTAGTTTTTAATGTAAATATTATTTTGTTTTTGGTTTAAAATTAACGTAGCTACTTAGAGGAAAAAATTAAAATATTCTCGATTTTCAAAAAGGATTAAAAAAGGTCCAAAAAGACATGTATCTTTAAAAGAAGTATTAAGAAATCGTGCTGTTCGGGTCGAAAAAATCCGACGTAATATAATATTTGAGAAGACTTAGAGAGAGTAAGGAGTTCACGACATTTTTTTAAGTGGAAGATAACATAAGCAGAATAGCAAGGCCTTGTTCCATTATGACGTCATCTGTTCTTAGCAATTACGTTTAGGATAAATTATCGAGACCGAATTATTTTTGGCCGGATAAAGGAATTCAATTTGTGATCCGTGGAATTAGTAATGATGTGATCCATTGGAGCGGTGTAGCAGTCTTTATAGGTAAAACCAAACTTAAAATAAGTAAGGAGGAAGATAAAACGTTTTTTTATGTAAAATACACCATCACAATATTACTGTTGATTTCCATTGCAAAACACAAGTACAAAACATATAGTTATTGTCCTAAGAAATAAAACCAGTGAATAATATGAAAAGCATAGTTACTTGTCTAATCTGGCGGTCGAGAGCGCCTGGTTTAAGGTTATCGCGCACTGAACTCCTTGCCGTGGCTGATTCTCCGAGATACACATAAAAATTACCTAGGAAACCTAATCATTATTCTCGTTTCTACATGTTTATGCATCAGAGTTCACGGAGCTGAACGTAACAAGTTACTCCCGTCCAAGCAATTGAAGAACGCGGCTGATTTTGTAAGGCTTGCTTGAGCTTTTCGAATTACAACAGACAGACAGACAGACAGACAGACAAAAGTTTTGAAAAGTGGTTTTTATTTTTAAGGTACATCTTGTAAAGGAAATATGATTTTTTTTTAATATTTAACCCACACTCCAATTTTACTAATATGTATAGATTGTAAAGTGAATGTAGTGTAAAAGTGACTATTACTTATTATTATAATGTATTTTTAGGGTTCCGTACCTTATAGGAAAAAACGGAACCCTTATAGGATCACTTTGTTGTCCGTCCGTCCGTCTGTCAGATCCTTTTTTTCAATTCAAAAAGCTATGGATTTTATTAAATGTGATACTTTAAGAAGAAAATAAATTCCAGTTAGATACCTTCGCGCGTTTTTGAGAAAAAGGGTGTTGACAGACGGACGGACGGACAACAAAGTGATCCTATAAGGGTTCCGTTTTTTCCTATAAGGTACGGAACTCTAAAAATAAAAATTAATAAAGTAAGGTCTATTCCGAGCGAGTTAAAATTGTTTCACTGATTGCGGATCAGGCCGCCGGAGTCTTCCGGGACTTTCAACGAGTTTTTAGTAACACTTTGTTAAAGTACCATAGCTTCACTTGCTTGCTACTTCAAGTTTTACATCTTACTAATATTATATATACGATTGCTCAGGTAAATGGATGGATGGTTGTTTGTTTGAAGGTATCTCCAAAATGGGTCAACAAATCTCGATGAAATTTGGCACATATATAGAACATAGTCTGGATAAACAGAGGCTACTTACTACTCACTACTACTTACACTTGTATTTTATTTTTTTAATTCCGTGCGGACGGAATCGCGGGCGACAGATAGTTTTAAAATATGCAAGAGCACGTAATATGATGGTACATTTACTCATAGTTTTCTTTATCTATTTATAGAATTGTCTGTTTAATGCTTAAACATTCTGATGATGTCAGCTTGTTACTTCACAATGTTACTAGATATCTCATGAACGGCGAAACGTAACTAAACGTAACATTGCTGAAAGAATAGGCTACTAATTAAGTTTTTTTGTTCCGACAGCCAGTTATTAAATAAGTTTAAATATGTTATATAGAATTTCTGTTTTTAACGCGTTTTTTTTAATGTAAAAATATACTTTTATACGATATGATAAAAGTTTTACGTTTGTGAAAAGTTTATTGTTACTTGGCAACTATGAAAAATTTTTCGTAGCCCTTTTTGATGTAGGTTAGACAATGATGAATTACAGTTCGCTACTTTGAGCTTCATTGTTTTTCATTCTTTCAAATTCCGCTGTGGTTATGGCTCACTTTTTGCTAATTGTAGAAAAATAGACTCAGGAAATATTGTGTACAATAATCTATGTTGTATTATAAATTAAAATTATAAAAGAGCTCGGTGGCTCAGTGGTCAAGCACTTGACTTGCAATCTGCAAGTCCTGGGTTCGAATCCCGCCATGTACCAATGTGTTTTTCGATTCCTGATTTATATATGTACATTTATCCGACGTTCTTACGTTAAAGGAAAACATCGTGATGCAACCTGCACATATCTAAGAAGAAATTCAAAGATATATGTGAAGTCAACCAAACCGCACTTGCCAGCGTGGTTGACTATGGCCTAATCACCCTTAACCTAGGGTAGGCTCCGAGCCCCTCTGTGGGGACGTATAGTGAGCTGATGATGAGTATTATAAGTCTTTGTAGAGTTTTAACCACTGAATTATTGAACTCAAGTTTTATTAATATAAATGCGAATGTTTGGATGGATGGATGTTTGTTAGAAGGTATCTCCAGAATGGCTACATGGATCACGCTGAAATTTGGCACAGATGTAGAACGGAATCTGAAAGAACTCAGAGGCTACTAATTGAGTTTCGCGTGGAGGGATCGCGGGCTATAGCCAATATGTTATAAGGTGTCAGGAATCGAATACGACTGTAGTAAACGCGGACAGAAGAACGACAAAATTAAAAAAAAACACATCATGTTTATGGAATATCATTTTCTTCTCGATATTACCTACAGACAGACTGATTTTATTGTATGCATGGTTATATATTCAACTCTGAATGTAAATAAAAGAGGATGCGCAACTAGAGATAATACGAGTATATGCGCTTGTTTATTTTCTTCTAAAATCTATTATTTCTAATGGTTTAGGCTTAAGCACCAAATCCACAATTACTTTAACGGATCCTTTTTTAATTTAGATGTATAAGTTTCACACAATTTATTTTTCCCGCCTCCGTATTTCAGACAAAGCCTTGAATTAACTCACAAAATTGCCAGCTGCCGGGAAATCGGCGGGCGGTTTTCAGCTGATTCAAATAAAGATTGTGAAATATGAAATAGAAAATGGAATTGAGTTCAGCAGATGTTTTTACACTTTGTAGGGAAAAATTTAAAATTGTTCATCATTTATTTTGTACTGCAAAAACACTATATTTAGAAGTACTTTGGGAATTAAAAAGTTTTTAAAAATATTATTTTTAATTGGGTAAAA